CGGTAATGCACGCAACGCTGAATCTCATTTTCATTGGGAATGAGAATCCATTGGTCTCGTAGACTTTTTTCTTCCCCTTATATTCTTTCCTTCTTCTCACGTTTTTCTTCTCTTATCCATCGAATGCAAATCTGTTCCATAATTTTTTTTTTTTCACGTTACGTATAAGATCGATCACATTTCTCTAACAAAATTCTCTTTTTGCATCTACTTCTTCTTTTCCTTCTTTTTTTCTCCCTTTCCTTTTCTTTTTCTTTTTTCATTTATTCCTTCTCTCTCTCTCTCTCTCTCTCTCTCTGTCTCTCTCTCTCTTTCTCTCTCTTTTCTTTTTATATAACTCTTTTTTATATTATTCTAAAAGGAAATTGGTCAATTTCGCAAGAATCAACGTTTAGAAAAATCTTGATAATTATAGCAATTTGAAAGTTTCTATCGAAGAATAAAGAAAGTTTAATGAAACGTTAATTAGTGTTGATTTACTAAGATGAAGAAAATAATGAGGTAGATGAAGAAAAAGGTGTTCTCAGCTTTCTTAAAAGACAACGAAGGTTCGAAAGTAAGAAGAGAAAATTCGATAGAAGGGATGATATTCGATAGCTTTAAAACATAGATTATATATACATATAAAATATATATAAAATATATATATATATATATATGTGTGTATGTATAGATATATATTCTCAGGGTAAGACAAAAACTCATTCTCTCTCTCTCTCTCTCTCTCTCTCTCTCTCTCTCTCTCTCCCTCTTTCTTTCTCTTTCTCTTTCTCATTCTCTCTTTTTCTCGTGTACCTTGAAATCTTCCTACTAATATTGCCAATACCAACGTGTCACGGCTTGTCGATACTATTTGCATGGCTGCCGGCAGCACCTTTTCATTCACGCTCTATATTTTGTACATGTGCCGAGGTTCTTCTTCTATTCGTTTGTAAAATTCAGACTTTATATCTTTGTATTTTCTCAACGATAACAACAATAACAACAACAAATAGAAAAGAAAAGAAAAGAAAAAAAAAAGGAAAGAAGAAAAAAATGATAAAGCAAAAACATTTATCCAAGCACGAGCTTTATGATATTAAATTAAAAACGATATAATTACAGTGGATTAAACATTAGTTACGAATTAAACATAAATATATAATCGATTTTGTATATAATGCTTTAATATTTTCTTTTTTTTTTCTTTCTTTTTTTTTTTATTATTTTTCATTCAAAGGAATGTAATAATCCATGTTATTAATGCAATTGAATGCAATTGGATACATGTAGAAAAATAATTTTTTTAAACAAACGAGTGAGAGAGTGAGAGAGAGAGAGAGAGATAAAGGGATGTTGCTTAAAGCCAAAGGTTGAATATATTTGCTTGGTAATTAATTATTCGCGCGGTAAATAGCAGCGTTGCGGAACGTACGCATCGAATAACGGGAATCACGGTTCGGTTGAAGGAGCCCCGAGCGTGCGATTTCCTCGCTAAATCCTTCGGAAACTAATATTAACGTTAAGGGAACGCGGTGAGAGTATGTCAGGAAAGTTACCTTGGGAACTATGTAAAGGAAAGGGATGGAGGAAGGATAGGAGAGAGAGAGAGAGAGAAGGGATATCGATGGAGAAATAGCAAAATTCGTCAAGTGTAACGTTTAAATCGTATCGATTTACGAGTGAATTTCGTGGTATTGAATTTGATACCAATAAAATTTAATTACCAATAGGAGTAAAAGTGAGAGAAAAAGAGGAAAAAGGAGCAATGAGGGAGAAAAAGAGAGAGAAAGAGAGAGAGAAAGAGAAAAGAGAGGAAGAGAGAATTTACCGATTATTATTCGCGAACGCGAATGTAAAAGTGAACACCGGTCGTTTGAGAGAGATTTCCACGAGGATTATGTATTTTTTTTTTCTTTTAATTTATTTTATATATATAAAGTAAAGAATAAATGAAAATTCGACGAGTAATCGTGTATTATCCGAAACACGTTCAGATTTCCGATCTATCCAAGAGGATTTTAATGGAGGACAACAATTACGATCTTAGTTGGGAATGCTTTTAAAATTATTCGTGAAGGAAATGTGAAGCGACACCGGCAAGAGTAGCATTCGTTGTAGTAATCGTTGTAGTAGTTGTCATCGTCGCCGTCGTCGTCGGGTATACGATAAACGAAAGACAAAGGGTTGTACCCAGAGTAAATCTCGGAACGTTGTATACTTGTGAAGGAGGAGAAAGAGGAAGAAGAGAAGGAGGAGGAAGTGAAAGAGAAGGATGAAGGAGGATGAGGATCGCGTCAAAGCGAGTCGTCAAACGCAATCCCGAGTCAGTGGCAAGCGTTTCTCCGCATTATTCCTCTTCGTCTCTCCTTGTATCTTCTCGTTCGGTCGGCCTTAACGTTCCAATATCCTATCTCTCTCTTTCTTTCTCTTTCTCTATCTCTCTCTCTCCCCTTTCTTTTTAGAGTACTGTATATATATAAAATATGTCTATGTGTATACATATGCATATGTGTGTGTGTGTATGTGCCTATCTCTATGTATCTATGTATCCATGTGTCTAGATGCTATGTGTGTATATATGT